AGTGCATTTCAAGTTGTTTTGACCTTTTAATTTTCTACAAAAAACATATTTACCAATCATTGCATATTTATTAAAATAAAAATAACTTTGGCCATGGCCATTTCAAGAACCCTAAATAATTCCATGATCCCAAGTGGCTCTTTCCTGAAGCTGTGAAAAGGATCCTGGGAAAGAAGCAAAGGAGGGGACAGATCTCAGGCAGTCCTGAGGCTTCAGCAATTTTGGTCTTCTGCCATATAAGAGTTCTTAGTAAGCGAAGGCCTACAGGAGGAGGAACTGACTATCTCCTGGGAAAGGCCCGTGTAATCTGGAACAGCACAAATTTCTTAAAATGGGAGTTGGAATCCAAGTATCTCCTGGTTCTTGATGAAACAATTCAGTCATTTTCAAGGACATGAACCTGGGGAAATGACTGGCTCTTGGAAACAGTGTTATTTGTTACGCCCAGACTTGATCCCCAAGGACCACCAGGGAGCCGAGTCCGATGCAATAAACAAAAGAGCCTTTTCCATGCTAGCATGGGCTCTGTCCCACTCACGCTGGCAGCATGGCGGAATAGAGCAAACTTCGCCAAGCCCTGGGTTTTTACTCAGGTCAGTGGTGATGTCACTGCTTCGGCTGACCCTGATAGGTTGGGTGAGGGCTAGGATTCAGTTACAAAATGGAGGATAACTCCACCCTGCCCCACAGTGGAGTCAGGAGTTTGTCCTTGCCCCGCCCTGCCCTCTCATTATTCTGGTATGTTGGAATAACCCAGATGATCAATACCAGGAAATCAGTCTCAGTCAACTATATTCCTTGTCAAGTGCTAGAGGACTCACTAGAGAATAACTTTATCTTAATAATGATAGGAATGATAATATGAGCATTTATTGACTGCTTAAGTAAGCCAGGTGCTTGATAGTCATTATGATTAAGAAACATTTTATTTGGCATTTATTTTACATTACTTCCTCTGCCCTATCAGCTGTGGTTGTACTCAGGAATCTGAGCCTGAATATGTAAGGGTCTTAATTAAGTGTAAGAAAATTCAACTGTAAATAACTAAGTCACAAAATATTTTATTTTCAAATATATTTTCATTGATTTCAGAGAGGAAGGGAAAAGAAGAGAGAGAAAAATCAATGATGAGAGAGAATCATTGATTAGTTACCTCCTGCATGCCCCCTACTAGGGCTCCAGCCCAAAACCCAGGGGTGTGCCCTTACTTGAAAAAAAACTAGGACCTTTTGGTTCATAGGTCGAGGTTCAACCATTGAGCAACACTGGCCTGGCAAGATTTTATTTTCTATTATTTCCTTTGCCTTGTCTTCTTTGATTATTTTTTAAATGGTTCATAAATAATAATATACCAATATTAATTTCATGATATTGATAATTATACTGTGATTATGAATGATGTTAAAATAATTGGGGTAAAAAATGATGGAACTTTTTACATGACTTTTGCAAGTTTTCTGTAAGTCTAAAGTTAATTAAAAACAAAGTTGAAAAAAATCATTGTAATTTCTTTACTACAATTTGCATCTTTTATTATATCAAAAAGCACTACATGTTCAATATAGCATCATTTTACATGCATACAAGCAGAAAGAATAAAATGAAAATTACCTAATCCAGTCGAGTAGAGGTATCTACTATAAATTTCTAGGTCTAAATTTATTGAAATATATGTGTATATGGATATATAGTATGAATTACTTTCAATCAGTGATTTCATTTGCAAAGGTAGAACTTTATATTTATTGAACTTAATTTGTCTTAAACCTTTATTTTGCCTAAGGAGAGGAAATTTAATAGAACCATTTCTAGGTACTTCAGTCCTTTTAAGATTTCAAGTCAAATTAAGGTTTCAAATTCAGTCTTCTTTAGGGGCTTCTTTTCAACTTTGTGGCACCAACCTCCTTGCTTCTGTTCACTAGAACCATGAACTATTGAAAACTCCAGCCTTCACAGTGCTGGAGATTCCCTGGGGACATTTTTAGGATTTTGAAAGGCTACTCTTGGGTCCCTCAACAGGGCCACCTCATTAGCCTTTACTTTTTCACTGCCCTGACACATTTCTGGTCTCTGGGGCTCTCTTTCTAAGATCTGCAGAATTTTGAGGCTACTCTCTGAAAGATGAGGCACAGCTTCCTTTTCTTATGGGATCTCCAGAAACCTTGTTAGGCTGTCTATCATACCTCCTTTGTGACTCTTGCCTCAAAGTATTGGTTTTCTAGGCCCTTTCCATAAGACCCACTTACAGATGTACTCTGTGAAAATTCTTCTTCGAACTTTGTCTCGATATCCTTTGGAGTGAGGAAAGCAAGCGAACAAACAAGCTCTTATAGTACCATATATTCTCCCAGAATCTATTAGTTATGACAAAAACATAGAGGTTTTTGTATTGAAGGCAGACTTTTGGAAATACAGATTTTTTTTTTTTTAAATACAGATTCTTATAGTTTTTTGCTTTTCTGATTGATTGATTGATTGATTTTTGCCAAGGTCTTCAGAATTCTATTTTATAACAAATTGTAAAAGAACTCTTTTTGAGACAACTAAAAATTTGATTATGAACTAGTTATTAGAAGATACCAAGGATTGATTCATTAATCTTGTTGGGTTTGAAAATGGCCTTGTGGGTACATATGAAAATATTCATAATTTTTAGAGAAGTTAGTGAAGACCGTTTAAGGCAGAGTGGGTTGGGAAGTGACAGGAATGGAAGGTAGGGAATAGATTATATAGAGCCACACATACCATTCTTTGATTTCATGCTCAGAGCATCAAATAGGAAGTGACATGATTAACTTGCAAAAAGTGGGGGAGTATGAGAAAAAGTGTTTGAGACTAGAAGGTGGGTGGCTCAAGGAATTTTTTATTCCTTTCCCAGCATCAACACTCACATTGAAATCCTTCAGTAAACTCTGTTGGTTCTCTTAATTTCATCACCTCTCAATTCCAAACCACTTATCATCTCTTATCTGGACACAATTGTTTCCTAATTATCAACTAACCAGTCTTTCTGCCTCTGTTATTATTCCTATAATACGTTCTTCAGAGCCGCCAGAGTGACTTTTTAAAGCTAATTCAGATTGTCATTGCTCTACTTAAAACATTCAATGGCTTTCTAGTCCATTTAAAATGAAATACAAACTCTGCCATAGACCATTAATTTCTATGTAATCTGACCATTATCTTCCTCACCATCCTCCTTACACAATAGTCCAACACAGGTCACTCTATAGTTTCCATTCTTTTTTTCAGTTACAAATGTTCATTTTACTGAATACATTATCTAGTGTGATAGTTCTATTGTAACATTTTAACCAAACTAGTACAAACTGAACTTCCTTTATAAAAAAAGAATGATTAAGTGAAAAAGTGTTCAAGTTCAGCAGCTAGATCTGAGATATTAAATAGTGACTAGATGGACAAAAATGTTGACATTAAATAGTACATTTTTATGTCATTCAATCTGGGTTCTTTAATGATTGGACAGTCATTACACATAGGTCTCAAGTTTTATAGTTTCACATTTGGAATTTTACCTTTAGTCTAACGAACATGGCTTCTTCATTAACTTTACACACAGAACATTTCCAATCAGGGCATTTTCTGGCATATTTTTCAATAACTTATTTAGAGTCTAGCATATCAAAAATTGAACTATATGCCATTTGCCTCCAGAAGAAAGTAATGAAAATAATTTGAAATGCCACTGTCTTCATCTTCCTACTGTTTAGTAAAAGGAAGTAATAAATTGCTGCAAATTTGATTTCTCATTCCATTCTGGTTCATGTTTACAGATCATGGTAGTTTAAGATAATGAATAATGCCTCATGAAAAAACTGTTTCATAGACCACCTCTTATGCTCTGCTGAGGGAAGTGTAAAATGTGTCATTGATGGAAGGGCAAGTGTCAACACTGATCCACATTCACAAATACATTTCCTCTGATCCTGAAATTCTGACAATTACCTGGAGCCTTCGAGCAGGTCAGCACCACCACCAGCTGCCAACCCTGTGCTGCTGCTGCACCAGATAAAAGGCCTACTGAATCAGTGCCCACCAAGCGCACTGAGACCAGCCCTGCCCACCCACCCAAAGCCAACAGTTCTCTGGTTCTAGTCAGACTCTCAGAAGCAGGCAACCAGGAGAAAACACTCTTCCTCAGGGCTCTCCAGGACAGCTCCGACCCTCAAGGGCAACTGATCGCTAGCCCAACACTTTCAGCAATCGCCACATTTTATGGTTTTCCTGTTCTGGAAATGAAAATGTTCCTTTAAAAACAGAGATGGAGAGGTTACTCCGTAAATCTGAACTCCAGCGAAGCTCTTCTGAACTCAGCGTGTCTCAAAGTTTAGCCCCGCCGGGTTTAAAATGAGTATTTTGAAGGCAACTACACAGGGTTATCGCAGGAAGTGAAATTATTTCGCTTACCCCCACCGCTCATAAATCATGGAGTTCATTCAGTGGAAAACCCTATTATATACTATAGGCCTGATGCCCGAAATTTCTGCAAGAGTAGGCCTTCCTTCCCTGGCCCACCTGCAGGCACTTGGGACCGGCTCCCGCAGGGCCCCTGCTCCCCGCCGAGGACCTCCGGTCTAATTAGCATATTACGCTTTTATTATTGCGTAGATTAACATCAGCATCAGCTGAGGAAGTTACAAGCAGGCTGCAGCGAGGCCTGGGGAGTGGGCTGAGGCTTAGGACTTGGGGAACACAGCGAAAAGGAGCATCGTTTCCCTCTGTTTCAGGCGGGGAGTCCAACAAACCCGGCGCCGCACCGGGCAGGTGGGATCGCCGGACTTTCCCGCGCAGCCGCCTCGCGCGGGGAAGAACCCGGATGAATCTCCCCTGCAGCCCGGACCCCGCCTCGCGGCCTTTGAATGGAGGAGCTGGGCGCAGCTGCCCTCCCTTCAGTACTCTGATTGGCTCACCCTCCTAGGCCCCTCCGAGTGATTGAGTGTCCGCGGTGCCAGTTACAAGCCAAAGCGGCTTCCCAGGTTGTTGTTGGAAGGCGGGGGTTCCGCGTCCCATTAGGCTCCGCGCCTCTGAGCTTGGCCGCTCGCCCTTCCTCCAGCGCCAGGAAAGCGTTGCCGACTTCTGGGCTGCAGCCCTGCAAGGAGGTGTATCCAGGCGGCTCGAGAACGACCCCGGGCAGCCTAGCGTCACCTTCGTCACCCACCCTGCGCCATGTCCCGGATGTTCAAGAGGTGAAGGGATGGAGAGGGTTGGACGAAGGAGGGTAACGGCCTGGTGGTGCCCCCAAATGAGCCTGATCTTCCCCGCGTTCCTTTCGCGGTTCCCGTGCGATTTGGACGCATGTATTCGTTTTGCTGGTGGCTCATATATCTTCGGTAGAATTAAACGCATAATTTTGGTTGGTGAGGAGAGGCTCCTCAGGCGAGTCTGGCTCCAGGGCCTTGGAGAAATATCTGTCAAGGGCTATGGGGAATGGGAGGGTTCTGGGGCTCAAAGCTCCAATCCTTAGCGGGGATCTCTACTGTGTTTTATTCAGCAAAAACACCCATTAGAAACGCACTGTGCTTTAGGCATTGTGCTAGGAATAAAGAGCCTAGTAGGACAGCTCTTGATCCTAAGTAGCTCACAGTTTATGTGCATACCCTGACGAGCAAATATATATTTGCAGAGGTGCCAAAAGAGGTTTGCATGACCTGCAAGGAAAACGCAGGGAAGTACCTTCCATCTGGTTTCAGGAGAGTGGAAACATCCTGGAAGGCCCCCAGCTGACTTCCCCCTTGCTTTTCAGTATCCAAATTGGTTTACATGCGCCGCTCCTGAAATAGATATTGATAATGGGATTAAAGTTACCCTAAAACCAACTGGAATGGGAGGCTTTTAGGTCATTCAGCCTTTGATGGTGGCATGGTTTGAATACCTGAATAAGAAAAGGAAGGAATTAAAGTAATGGATGTCAAACCTCAGAGGGAAGGTAGGGGTAGGTGGGGGTAAAGGTGAAGAGATCAACCAAAGGACTTGTGTGCATGCATAAGCCTAACCAGTAGTCACAGACAACAGGTGGGTGGGGGCATGCGTGGGAATGGGGGGGATGAGGACAAATATGTGATACTTTAATCAATAAAGAAATTTAAAAAAATAAAGTAATGGATGCTGAATGTGTTATCTGTAATTATGTAAACTGCTTCACATATAATAATAGTTCTATATTTGCAAGTCTCCTAGCTCAATCTCCATTGAAATTTTGGCATATAAAGAAAGTTACAGACATCACATATAATTTAAATAGATAATCACTAGGAAAAAGATTTGTGAACCCTTATTGGGTTTTTCATTTTGAATATCTGGTTAGAAGAGGCATTACTAAATAGGCAGGTTTCCTCCCCAACTGACTCAAATCCTGCATTAACTAGAGTAACACTTATTTTTAAAAAACATATTTTATTTATTTATTTATTTATTTATTTATTTATTTTTTACAGAGAGGAAGGGAGAGGGAGGGAAAGTTAGAAACATCGAGGAGAGAGAAACATGAATCAGCTGCCTCCTGTAATATCCCCTACTGTGTCAGAGTACATGCCGTAGACCTGAATCAAACCTGGGACCCTTGAGTCCGCAGGCCAGAAGCTACATCCATTGAGCCAAACTGGTTAGGGCTAGAGTAACATTTTCTTAATTTTATACAGAAATTCCCACATAAGAATTAATTTGTTGAAATAAAGTGTGAGAAAACAATTGGCCTATGAATATGGTATGGTCTTTGAGAAATACTTGATTTAAATTTTTTTCCTCTGCCTTTTTTTTTTTTTTAAATAGAGATCCTGTTCGGAAGTACTTGCAGACTGTCCAGAATGGCGGAGTCCATGGAAATTTTCCACGCCTCTCATATCCAACTTCCTTTCCCCGTTTTGAGTTCCAAGATATTATTCCTCCAGATGACTTCCTAACTAGTGATGAAGAGTTAGATTCAGTTTTATTTGGAACTTTGAGAAGCCATGTAGTTGGACTACGTTATTACACTGGAGTAGTGAGTATAACCTTAGATGTTAAGTTAAAATGTGATGTATTTATGGTATTAACCTAGAAAATAAAAATTAGATGGTGATATGTGCATTAATTTTTTTTTTTTTTTTACTATATATTTTTATTGATTTCAGAGAGGAAGGGAGAGGGAGAGAGAGACTGCCCCCTACTGGGGATCTAGCCCACAACCCCAGCATGTGCCTTTGACCGGAATCGAACTAAGGACCCTTCAGTCTACAGACCCATGCTCTATCCACTGAGCCAAACCAGTTAGGGCTAATTTTGTGCTTACTTTAAGTAATTGAAATATATATGGTCAAGAGTTAAATATTTAATGACTAATATTTCTTTACATTTATATCATAGTTGTAATATACAAAGCATGATTTTGTGTATGGTCTCATTTAATGGCTACATTGACTCTGAGATATATAGGGCATCTATTCTCTCCTTTCTATAACTGAAGAACTGAAGCTCAGGAGGGTTATATGATTTGCCCAAAAGGCACAAAAACTGTAATGTACATTTATAAAATGACTTCCAAGTCAGTCCATTGCTTTCTCTTCTTCTGCCCCTCAGCACATTCCTACTCTTTAATTTAAAAAAGAATATATGGTTTTATTAATTTTAGAGAATGTAAAGGAGAGGGAAAGAGGAATAGAAACATCAGTGATGAGAGAGAATCATTGATTGGCTGCCTCCTGCATGTCCCTTCTGGGGATTGAGTCTGCAACTTGTGCATGTGCCTTGACTGATTAGGAATCCATCTCTGACCTCATGGGCTATATTTTAATATTTTTATTTTAGGAAGATAACTCTTACTACATAGGGGAATTGTCTTTCTTAGGTATTTTTTTCTTGTCTCTTTGTCTACCAATTTTTCTTCTCGTGTTTGTCTTTATTTCTATTCTCATCAGTGTGTGTGTGTGTGTGTGTGTGTGTGTGTGTGTGTGTGAGAGAGAGAGAGAGAGAGAGAGAGAGAGAGAGAGAGAGAAAGAGAGAAAGAAAAAGAGAGAGAGAGAGATACATAGATAGGCATGTATAGCTAGAGATAGAGAATATATTATTTCTCTGGTAAGTAGTTGTCTTTGTTATGGTTGTCTATACTGTCTCTGTATTACCTGGATAATATAATTCTAGTTTTATTTTTTAATTGATTATGAAACATTTCAAACATGCATAAAAGTAAAATAATACAATAAACTGCATATACCTATGATTCAGATTCAGCAGTTAACAAGCTTTTTGCACATTTGTTTCATTTTTTTTCTTTTCATCTGTCCTTTTATACTAAAAATCTTATCACTTTATACCCATAACAAAATTAGTAATTTCTCATTCTATTCCATAATCAGTTTTCTTGATTCAAGAAAAATCAGAATCAAAATAAAATTTATATATGGCATATGGTTGTTACATCTCGTAAGTCATCCCTATCCCTAAACCCCCTTTTATTTCATGTCATTGATTTGTTGAAGAAACTATATCTGTTCTATGGAAAGTTCTAAATTTGTCAGTTTTCTGTTCTCCCAATATTTTTCTTTTTAATAAATCCTTATTGTTTAGATTATTACAGTTATTCCTCTTTTTTCCCCTCAGAGCTCCCCTCTACCCAGTTCCCACCCTACCTTCTGCCCTTACCTCCCTCCCCTACTGTCCATAGATATAGGATTTTTGTCCAATCTCTTCCAGCACCCCCTTCATCACCTTTCCCCCGAGAATTGTCAGTCCACTCCCTTTTTATGTCCCTGATTCTATTATATTCATCACTTTATTTTGTTCATCAGATTTTTTATTCACTTGATTTTTAGATTCATTTGTTGATAGATATGTATTTGTTGTCACTTTGTTGTTCATAATTTTTATCTTTACCTTTTTCTTCTTTCTCTTCTTTAAGAATACCCTTCAGCATTTCATATAATAATTGGTTTGATAGTGATGAACTCCTTTAGCTTTTTCTTACCTGTGAAGCTCTTTATCTGACCTTCAATTCTAAATGATAGCTTTCCTGGGTAGAGCAATATTGATTGTAGGTTTTTGCTATTCATCACTTTGAATATTTCTTGCCACTCCCATCTGGCCTGCATAGTTTCTGTTGAGAAGTCAGCTGACAGTTGTATGGGTGCTCCCTTGTAGGTAACTGTTTTTCTCTTGCTGCTTTTAAGATTTTCTCTTTGTCTTTTGCTCTTGGCATTTTAATTATGATGTGTCTTGGTGTGGTCCTCTTTGGATTCCTCTTGCTTGGGGTTCTCTGTACTTCCTGGACTTATAAATCTATTTCTTTCAACAGGTGGAGGAAGTTTTCTGTCATTATTTCTTCAAATAGATTTTCAATATTTTGTTCTCTCTCTTCTTCAGGTACCCCCATAATTCTGATGTTGGTATGCTTGAAGTTGTCCCAGAGGCTCCTTACACTATCTTCATATTTTTGGATTCTTTTTTCTTTTTGCATTTCTGGTTGTGTGTTTTTTGCTTCTTTGTATTTCAAATCTTTGACTTAATTCTTGGAATCCTCTAGTCTGCTGTTGGATCTCTGAGAATTATTCTTTATTTCAGTCAGTGTATGCTTAATTTCTAGTTGGTCCTTTTTCATATCCTTGAGAGTCTCACTAAATTTCTCGGAGGTTTCTAGAAGATTATTTTATTTTTTTATTTGTATTTTTAAAAAAATAAACCTTTATTGTTCATATTATTACAAAAGTTCCTCATTTTTTTTCCCCCTCTACCAGGTTCCCACCCCACTCTCTGCCCTTTCCCCATCCCCCATTGTCCTCATCCTTAGGTGCACAATTTATGTTCAGTCTCTTCCCTCACCCCCCACTCTTCTTTTCCCTGAGAATCATCAGTCCACTCCCCTTCCATACCTCTGATTCTATTATATTCAACAGTTACTATTGTTCATCAGGTTTTTTGATTGCCTTTTTTTTTTTTTTTTTTTTTTTTATTGGCTTCCAAAGGGGAGTTTAAGGTCAAAAGGAGCTTCTGGTGTGCTCAGATCCCATTCATCAAAATCTGGGTAAGCTCCCTATTTTTTGGTACAAGATTTAGCTTATGGAGACCTGGCTGAGTCAAGGTCCTATTTGTTCCTCATTCCAAGCACATGGATTAAGAAATCAGCACTGATAAGAGGATTCTGCCAGTGCCCTCGGGCTCAGCCGAAAAGAATTAAAAGAATGTCTACGTGCCTTCTCAGGAGGCTCTCTACATCTCACCTTTTTTTTTTTTTACTAATTAAAATAAAATTTAAACATCAACAATAGGGCTCTAAAATTAAAAACAATTGCAAACAATGCCAATGCAAAAATAGAAGATTCTTGAGTAACCTTATAACTGTGGTTTTGAACTCTGTATTCAGTAGTTTGCTTTCCTCCATTTCTTTCATTTCTGGCCTCTTTCTTTCTTTTTTTTTTTTTTTAATATATTTTATTGATTTTCCACAGAGAGAGGAAGGGAAAGAGATGGAGAGTTAGAAACATCGATGATGAGAGAAACATCTATCAGTTGCCTCTGGCACACCTCCCACTGGGGATGTGCCTGCAACCAAGGCACACGCCCTTGACCAGAATCAAAATCGGGACCCCTCAGTCCACAGGCCAATGCTCTATCCACTGAGCCAAATCGGTTTCAGCATGGCCTGTTTCTTTGTCTCCAAAATTTGGCTGCTTCCCTGTGTTGATAGAGTGGTTTTGTCTTTTAGGGCCCAGTGGCTCAGCCTCCCTAATAACCTGAGGTGGACACTCTTGGTGCACCCCTGTGTGAGCTGTGTGCACAGTCTTGTAATTAAGCCTTGATTGTTGTTGGTATCACTGGGAGGAATTGACCTCCAGGCCAATTGGCTGTGAGATCAGTTGTGTCTAAGATGGGAGAACATCTGTGCAGGAGACACCCTTATGGGAAAAGACTTGCTTCAGTGGGGCTTTGGTGCTCACTGAGTCTGCCCCCTTAGTATCTCTTATGGATCTGAAGAGTTGTAATCTGGATAGGCTCACTCTGACCACTGGGTACACTGGCTGTTGGATCTCCAAGGAGATGCAATGTCAGCCACTGTGTGAGGCCACCCAGCAGGAGCTACAGAGACATCTGCAGATTCCTTCTTTTTGTTTGTGCTTTGGAGGTGCCCAGATGAGGCCCAGCTGTGAAGCAATGCAAGTTGCTGTGGAGCCTTGGGCCTTCTTGGAGGCTCTGGGGCTCTCAGACTCAGCTGTAGTATGTTAGGTTTTAGGTTGCAAAGGATCAGGCCATTCATATGTAAAAGTCTCTGTGCACAGCTTGGGTAAAGTTGTAAATTGGGTGGGGTGGTGTCTCAGGGAATCACCAGGGTGGAGCAAACAGCAATGGCTGCCAGCCAACCCTGCCCTAAAGAGGCTCCTGGATCTTTGTCCCCAAGCACCATGCAAGAACAATTATCACTGCAAGCACCTTTGAGAGAAAGCCCCCTCGTGTTCTGGCCCAATGCCAGTCAGTCCAGTTTTTCTCGTTATGAGTCTGGGTCCTGAGAGTCTCCCCTGGAAGTGGAGTTCAGAGTAGTCTGGAGCTTGTGTCTCCCTCCCAATTGAAAAAGACAATAGCATACAGTGGTGCCTCACACAACGAACATAATTCGTTCCAGGAGCAAGTTTGTTATGCGAAAAGTTCGTTATGTGAAACACGTTTTCCCATAACAGTACATGTTAAAAAAAATAATTCGTTCTGTAGCATAAAATATGCTAAGATGACATAAAAAAAGATAAATTTTTTGTTATTATTTTTATTTAGATACATCATGATATAAAAAAAATATTGAGTTTAACTTAAAAGGACGACTGCTGTGATACGTGCGTGATTTAATTCGTAATGAAGAACGATTGCCGCGATACGTGCTTAAGTTAAGCGCAGTGACTAACGACTGCCTGCAGTGCCTGCGCGGAAGGATGCAATACATCGGCAGCGATCTTGGAAGCTCGGGCGAAGCAGTCGTGGAAGCTCGGGCGACTTCGTTGTGTGAAACGAAGTTCGTTGTATGAA